GGAATGCAAGGGCTGGGACAAGAACAAGTCTGCCTAGGGGGAGATACTCCTATGGTTAAAGGCACAGTGAAGTCTATTCCTGGATCTGCCAAACTTCCGGGAGATCAAGTCACTTAAGCTCAGGTTCCCCATCTGTAAAATGGAGATTATGGTATTTTCTGGTTTTCAGAGAAGCTGGGAGTCTTCAACCTTTAAGGTCTATAACATGCTCTAAAATCCCTGAATGAAACATGTTACAGAAGTCATGTTTTTATTATTCAGCTCTGGCACAAGAGTGGAACAGAGATCAGCCCAGTTTGAATGTAAGTGGAAAAAGAAGCCCCAGTATGGGAAGACCCCAGCTAAATATACAAGTTTAATTATGGCCCCCAAGCAGCAATGGTAGTATACAGTAACCAGATGAGACCTGTTCCTTTTTAAGCCAACCAAAAACTTGTTAAGAAGGTTGAGTGCAATGTTGCCAAAGATAGCCAACTGGCTCTCAACCTCATCCAAAACCTTATTTAACTAAAAATGTTTGGTGTCTCTGTCTCTTCAGTAAACAGCTAGCTTTCAGGGGTGGGTGGGGACTCACAATGCTGTGTTAACTAGCAATGGAGGAAGATCTGGCCTCCATCCATAAGAAGGGATGTGAACCAAAACAAATATGGTTCTGAAAATGCAGGGTACAAAAGAACATGCATAACCTGAAGCATGACAACACAAGCATGTTTTAATGATTAGGGTCAATACATGGTGAGGATGTAAGAGTGAGCTGTACCCGACAAAAAACTGACATAATACAGGGTGGCGTGCTAAAATCTGTGCCCACTACAGAGACACTGACACACTCATTCTTTGCACCACCCATCTCCATTCCCTTATCTGAGAAATGAAACATGCACTAATGAGCAACTCTTATTACAGGAAGTTCTCCTCCCCTTTCCAGTGCCAATGAATGTGCTCAGTACTCACCACTCCACTGGAGGACTTGGTCTTCAGCTCTAACTTAACCAGTCCAAATCCTAAAACACAAAAGCAGAAAGACACCTATTTCATTACAGCATACAAGAAAATGAGAGGCTTTTACTCCTACATGTAATAGTCTGGGAGCACTTACATGAAACAGCCCACCTTGTAAGTAGGACTTAATCTTACTGGGAAAGAATTAACTAGGTTCTGATGATCCATGGAAGTTAATAAACCATCTGCTTATCGGAGCACAAGGGAATACTGAGTGTTCAAAAGTGTGCAAGTAGTTATAGGCTAAGCAGTCCTGAGTTAAATTAACACGTTTTAATTCAGAAGGTACCACTTCTGAATTCAGAAGGTACCATCTGCTGTGGCCAGATGGTACCACCTTTGCGATTATCCAGCCTGAATTCCTGCACAGCACTGGCCAGAGAATTTAATCTAGTAATTCCTGCATCACATTCATAACTTGTTTGAGCCAGGACATATTTTTAGAAAGATATCTAATCTTACAAGTCCTCAAGAGAGAGAGGATTTAACACACCCTTTAATATGTCATTCCAATGGTTAATCAACCACATGTTAAATATTTGTTCCTTCTTCCTACTCTCAAATGTATCCAAACTCGCACTCCCTCTGCATTCTATTTTGCCTTTCTTCCAGAGCCCTCAATCAGAGATTGGCCCCATTACACACTGGGATCAAACTCACCTTTTAGTCTCTTCTTTTCAAAAGCTAAATAAATTGAGGCATTTAAATCTTACAGCAAGGCAGGTTCTCTCAAGACCTTGTCCTTCTTCTCTGTTTTGACATGATCTCACACAGACAATACCACTTCTTCCCTATTCCTACTTGACAGTCCACCATTTATGTATCCAAGGATAATTTTAGTTATCTTTCATCTTGAATGCTCCTAGATTTCTATTCTAAAAAGAGAAACCTTTTAGCTGAACTTTGCCACATTTTAGCTTGGCCTTTGTTAATACTACCAAAAGAGATTTAAAAAAAAAGATACCACGCTAAGATATCCTTGCCTCTTGCCTAATTTCTGGACTACCAAGGCTACAGCATCACACTTACACTACCGTATTAGAATCAACACATGATAATGCTACTTACCATAACCCTTGTTGAATACATCTCTGGCAGATTTCCCCAGGTCACAGTAGGATGGTGGGACAGCCATTGGGTCTGAAGAGATAAGAAATGGGAAGAACCCATATTTCACGACACAGAAACAAAAAACATAGCTCACTAAGCACTTAAGGTACCCAGCAGAAAAGAAACCATGGTGCAAGGCAGTAGTCTTTCACTGTGTTCAGTGACCTCCCTTAGTTCAACACTGGTTTTGTCAGAAAGGTAGTGGGGTTTATCAGCCCAGAACATTTAACAAAAACCAATCTACACCCAAAACACCGTATCCTAGGAGTGAAATTTAACTCCAACAGGATCCTTGTACCTCAGTGTTAATACCATACTGGATAAATAACATACACACGCTCCAACACACATATGCTACAATGGCTGTTCCATGCCACTTCAAAATAAACTTTCTTTTCCCCCACCAGTGTTCTCAGCTCCTCCCCTCAAGCAGTCACCACAGCTTTGGGAAAACATAAAAAGGACTTCCGTTTATAAAACAGGGAGGCGACCCTGTTGATGTTTCTACAAAAATATACATAAAAGAAAAGGCAGCAGCAGTAACGTCTAGTATTACGTAACTGTCTGAACAAAACTAAAATTAAGAGAACAAGACCCACAAACACATGGGGCACAAACCTAAAGAGAGAAGCGTTAATTTTAACACTGAATTACTTGGCCTTTTTGACTTGTCAAAATGTATCATTTCTTTCAAAAGTATATACCCTTTTCCCCAGCAGCTAAATGCTTTTTTGACATTAAAGATGGCTCTGGAATAGAAGCTACAGACCCCAGAAATGCAGATTTAGACCTTGAGGTCTGATACCCACCATGCCACTGTGATGGGTGGTTTCAGGAAGAACAGACTAGCTCACAGGTGAACTTTGTTAACAGCAGCTCTCTGTCTCTTAATCCTTCCTAAAAGAGGCTCATTTGTTAAGATTCCTCTACTCAACAGCTCCACTAGAAACAGCTCTTGTTGATAAATTATGTCAGACAGAAATTCTTTCTTATCCAAGACAATGATGCAAGGATTTTACCTCCTAAAGTCACCAGTTCCCTTCAAACCATTTACCTTTCCTTGGATCTACACAGCAATGCTACTGTTTAGAAGCCTCTTTCTGATTTCTGGTGGACTTTGCTTCCTCATGTTCTTTCTAGAAACCTGACCATTTTTATTCTGACCTTTGTAGGACAAGAAATCAATTCTTGCACCAAGCAGCTTCTAACACTGCTCTCAAAAAGACAGGACTAATCAAATGCAGAACTGCTTTTGCTCTCTTGTGTCAAGGTTTCTGTATTAACTCATCCTTGCAACTGGACAATGTAGGCCTTTCACAGATGTGTTAAGGGCTGGAAGGGACCTTACAAGATCATCGGGAGCAGCCACCCTGCACTTGGGCAGGAAAGCCCAGCAAAGTGGGCACCAAGCCGTTTTTTTTAAGATCTCCAGGGTGGGTGACTTGGGGGGAGCCTGTTCCACACCTTCAGCACTCGACAAGTTTTTCCTTATGTCCAGTCTGAAGCAATCTTTAATCAGCTTGTGCCCGCTATTCCTCGTCTTCCCCTTTCCCTAGATGCAGCATTCAGATAACTTCCACTCCCCTCACAGATACCTTAAGGATGGCTTTCCATGCTGTATAAATATATACACACATATCTATCTATATATACCTGTGGGTCTAGCAGGTCTAGAACAGCTGGACATGACTGCAGACTCCTTATATGAAGCTTTAGGTCATAAATTACTGTACTTCTTAACTGTCAAGTTATAAAATGCCTGTCTACCTGTCAAATACGGAAAAAAGATGCATGCGTTGTTAAAGATAAAAGACAAGCGACACTGCGCCGCAGGAATTGTGGTAACCGTTACGATGGTTGCATTTCTTTATCAATACTACTTTCACCCAAATAATCTTCCAACTGAATACTCATCAAGCTCTACACTCAGCAACAAGAGGCATCACACGGTTTAAAAGACTGCCCAATGCTCTTTCATCTGCAAGTCTCTTGCTGGGGGATTGTTCGCTGCGCTTATTGCAACACAGCTCCGTGACTTGGTCTGGACTAGATATTTAACAAAAAGGTGTAACCGAGGCAAGACCTTCACCCTGGGAAAAGTTTAAAAACCGGTACAGTGGATACGTGATAACGATGCTTATCACGTATCCGCCGTATTGGTTTTTAAACCTTCCCAGGGTGAAGGTCTTGCCTTGGTTATGCCTTTTTGTTAAACAGCAGGCACTTTTACTAGCAAAAGCCAAGCCCAGAAGAGCCCCTCGGAGGCAAAAGCAGCAGCAGGATGAGACCTGCCGGCCCACCACCGTCTTGGAGCAGCATCCCCACCCCCACCCCCTGGTGCCCAGCACAGCCCCGCTTCCCGCCTCGGCCACGCGGTGTGCTGCCAACTCTCATG